ATATATATATATATATATATATATATATATATATGTACATATCAATTAATAAAGATTTTTCAAAAAACAATGGGCAGTCCCATGTCTTGATCAATTTTTTTAAATTTTTTGGAATTAAAAATTCTGTTGTAATAAGGCATATCTAATGACCATGCGAACAGAAGGAAAGCAACAACCGTTTTTATGCGTTTTTGCACAGATGCAAATTGCAATAAAAACGCATGTTGGGAAAGAGGCCGTGCGTGTGTGTGTCTGTGTGTCTGTGTGTTCGCACTTTTTGTTACCCACTTTCAATTCGAGAACCGGAAAAGCTAGAAGGCTGAAACTTTTGGAGTATGTGCCTATGCCATGCGCGACTCTCCCGTTTAATATCAACCCCTGCGGACGCCTGAGTGCCGTGTACGGATGCTTTAAAAAAATATGCAGATTTTTATGGCAGGAAAGCGATCTCGGGAACCAGATAAGCTAAGGGGCTGAAACTTTGTAGGGATATTCCCTGTGCATGTGTTAGCTAAAGATTTCAAATTCAGCCCCCAGGTATGCGTGGAACTCACATAAGGGCAAATTGCTAGCGGGAAAATTTAGCGGGAAAATTGCTAACTCGGGAACCTGGGAAGCTAGAAAGCTGAAATTTTGGTGGAATGTTCCCTGTCCAAGTACAACTTAAATATTTCAAATCCAGCCCTCAGGCATGCGTGGTACTTATGTACTAGCACGTGAAAGATTTGGCCGGAAAACTGTTAACTCGGCAACCAGAAAAGCTGGAATTTTGAGGGAATGTTCCCTGTCCAAGCATAAGTCAAATATTTCATATTCAGCCCCCAGCTATGCGTGGTATTCACGTAAGGATCTGGACGCTAGATACGTTACGGCACATGAAGATCGAGTCGTCTCGGGTCTGACGCACACTTTTACACGACGCCGCATACAGCGATTCTAGGTGAAGTACTCAGGGTAGGGCAGTAACTGCAAAAGTTGGTCAGCGAAACTAACGAGTCATATGACAAGCAACAAAAATGATGGACGCCTGAAACAGCCTGAAGTAAACGGCAATAGCTCCTTTTGTTCGAACGGGTTTCACGATTGCGGTGCTGGAGACAAACTGCCATTCCGGAGCTGCAATCAGTGATTCGTAACAAAGCATTATGATAGTTGACAAGAAAAATTTAGAAAGGCATGCATCTGGCAATAACAAACTTGAAGCATATGCGACCAAAGGTTCTCGGATAAACAGAATCATCATCTGCGCCCACTTCCTCACCCAGCAGTATATCAGATGTGTATCACCGACCGCCTTGGTTAATAATTTGACCATTTCCTGGTGATAGTGGCTAAAAAATACCAAAAAAAATGTGAAATGAATATTGGTGCTCCAGGACCACAGAGATGCTGCAGTGGAAATCAGTGAAAACTAACGCATTTGTTGGTGGAAGCTCTTGAAAGCATATGCAAATGAGGTCAGCTCTGTTTTCAGCACGCTCACTTGCTATTAATTTTCTGATTCTTGACAAATGGTTTTGAGCCTAAAAAAATTTCGAATAAATATAAGGATTTGCGGTATAATCCAGAAAAATGCCCTCAGCAACTGCTATCGTTTCCTTTTTTTAAAGCACATTCGTTTCCTAGCTAGAAATTACCAGATTTAATAGCATTTATTGTGCTAGCACCTTTACGTTTGCTAATTCGTCGAGGAAAAGTCAACGTCAGCATAATTTTTTGTGATTTCTCAGTCCTCGCCCCCAATATTTGGGGAAAGGAGATCGGCTGCGAACACGTTTTTGGCACATAATAGTGTAACACTTTGTCGCATTTTGTTGCTCCAGAAATCGTTTCTAGTTTTTAACCTATAGCTGTTAGCTGTTCGCAGCAGGCGGAAATGGCTGATTCAGGAGCAACGCACACACTTGTTAATCGTTTGCGAGTGAGGATGTAGTGCATTTCCGGGTTCGACAAATTTAAAAATTAGGTTCCGCCACATTTACTCCAGGAAGTTTTTTCAAGGAACAACTGACGTAGCGAATTCAGTGTATAAAATTTGAGGAACAATTCTACACTTCTACAGTTCCCGCCTTTGCTGTTAACGTGGACACATAGCACTGTCGGGAATCCAATGTGCTGAGAATGTCAGGTGACCGAACGGAGCTATACACTGTATTTGTATAACAACATATCCATAAGTGAAAATACTGTATTGCACGAGGTGTATTTATTTTTCATGAACTCATCGAGGTACCACACCCTCTGCCAGATTTAACAAGAGTGTGGTGCAAAAGACGTACACAGCCACGATTTCAGAACTGGAGGTCATATTTTCAACGAATAAAATTTGAAGCACATAAAAAAATAAATGTTAAAAATTGGAAGTTTAATAACTTTTGATGCGATGTTCCAGGTTAAGCACATCACCACGACAGTGCTGCCCGGCACCAAATGTTTCAGTCGATTCACTTGTGGTATGATAACACCTCCAGGACCAAGCACTGTTATTCTGCAAAATATCAGCAATAGTTTTGACATCAAGCACAGAATATTTTGTTTGCGCATGAGGCGTTTGAGGAATAGTTATTAAAGATGAGAAAAACGGTGCCCATTTATGTGGGGAATTTCAGCACCCGGAATGAAGTTTTTTTTTTGTAAAAAAAGAAATTAATTGCAATTTCTCCCCGTGAAATGTTCCTGCTGATGCATAATCATACAAGATACGCATTAAAGAAAAAACAATGTGGAGAGAAATGTAAAGCTAGCAGCATGTCCTACTCAGCACTTTGTTCAAATAAGTGCCCAGTTGTTCATATAGTCACAAAAAGAATTCTCCAACCATTGATTGCTCCAATTAGCTCAATTCCTACAGGTGTCGCTACAAAGGTATTGAAAAGGCGATCCTTCCGATTCAGGAAACGGATGATAAGCGGAGACAAGTTTAAGCGCGTACAAGATCATAAAGAAAGTCGTGTTACGATGAAATACGATTAATGGGCCATCTTTAAGGCATACAGAGAAGCTGATTGTAATATCCAGGTTGACCTTGGATGCCAAACTGCAGAAGGCGTATTGGATACAAAACAGGAAAGAACGACGAAAGGAGACAGGAATTAGACGAACCTCTCGGTCCATTAAGCTATATACGTCTTAACACTGCGACAGGACCTCATCAGTATGACGGTTGCAACGTTTAATAAAAGAAGAGGAAGGATAAAGAGATAAAGATGCAAGGAAAGAAAGGGAGGAGCTGTGACTGCAGGATTAGGGGGAGGGGGGGGGGGGGGGGGGG